CACAGTCACAATAGAGAATATTTTCTTTACTCAAGAAAGTCCCATTGTGCCTGTCTGTAGTCATTCCTCTACCCGCTCTATTCCCAGTCCCTGGCAACCAGTGACTTGATTTCTGTCACTAGAGTTTTGGCTTTTCCAGAATATTGGGTAAATGGAATCATACAGTATGTAGCCTTTGTGTCTGGGTTTTTTTGTTGTTGTTGTTTTTTGCATAGACTAATGCTTTTGAGATTCATTCATGTTATGGTGTGTATTAGTATTATAGTAGTTCATTTCCTTTTTATTGCTGAGTAATATTTTATAGATACATAGCAATCAATTTGTTTATCCATTCACCCGTTGGTAAACATTGGGTTGTATTCAGTTTTTGGTGATCATGAATAGTGCTACTATTAACATTTGCAAGCACGTCTTTGTGTAAACATATGTTTTTATTTTTGTGTAAATACCTAGAAGTGAGTCATATGGTAAGTGTAATATTAATATTTAACTTTATAAAACCTTATAAAAACTACTCACTTGATTATACCAATTTGCATTCCTGCCAATGGTGTATGAGAGTTTTCCAGTTGCACCACATCCCTGCCAGCCCTTGGTTTGCCAGAATTTTCTGTTTTGAATTTTAGTCATTCTTATAGGTGTATAGCACCATCCTATTGTGGTTTCAGTTTCCTTGATGGCTAATGATATTCTGATATTGAGTTTCTTTTTGTGTGCTTATTTGCCACCTGTATTTCGTCTTTGGTGAAATGCCCTTTTTTTTTTTTTATTGGGTTGCTTATTTTCTTATTATTGAGTTGTGAAAGTTCTTTATATATTCTGGACACAAGTCCTTCATCAGATACATGATTTGCAAACATTTTCTCCAAGTCTGTGGCTTGTCTTTTCATTGTGTTACCAGTTTCTTTTGAGCAGAAAAAGTTTTTAATTTTGATAAAGTCCGTTTTCTCAAGTTTTCCTTTTATGGTTCATACTTTTTGTGTCCTGAGAAATCTTTGTTTCCTAAGATCACAAAGAGTTCTCCTATGTTTTCTCTATAAGTTTTATAGTGTTGGGATACATTTAGGTCTGCACACCATGTTGAGTTAATTTTTATGTATGATGTAAAATACTGGTTCATGTTTTTGCATATGGTTTTCAGGTTAATTGTTCCCCACCATTTGTTTCTTTATTACCTTTCTGCATTGCATTACCTTGACAACTTTATTGAAAATTAATTGGCCATATATGTGTGCATCTTGTTTCTGGACTCTGTACTGTTCCGTTGATCTATGTATCTGCCCTTTCACTAATACCACAATATTTTGATTGCTTTACCTGAAACTACATTTATTTTAGAGATGATTGTGGTGTCTGTTAGGAATGCTGTTGTCAGCAAGGAAGAGAAAGCCCTACTAATAGTTTATTTTTCTGCTATAACAAGAAGTCTGGATATAAGCAGTTGCTAGTTTGTTTAAGCTATTCATCTATACTAAAGTCAACAAACTGTACCCTACTGGTGTATGCTGGCCTGCCACTTGTTTTTGTAAATAAAGTTTAATTGGATCATAGCCATGCTTGTTTGTTTACACAGTGTTTTTGGTGCTTTCCTGCTACAAAGTCAGTTGAGTAGTTGCAACAGAGACTATATATATGGCCTGCAAACCCTAAGGTATTTGTTTTGTAGCCCTTTATAGAATAAGTTTTTTAACTCCCGATCTGTATCATTAATGACCCAATTTCTTTCATCCACTAATTCATTTTATTTACTTTTCTTTTTTTTTTTTTTTGAGACAGAGTCTCACTCTGTTGCCCGGGCTAGAGTGAGTGCCGTGGCATTAGCCTAGCTCACAGCAGCCTCAAACTCCTGGGCTCCAGCGATCCTCCTGCCTCAGCCTCCCGAGTAGCTGGGACTATAGGCACGTGCCACTATGTCCGGCTAATTTTTTTCTATATATTTTTAGTTGTCCGATTAATTTTATCGAGAAAAGCAACAGTTTTCCTGAAGCCTCCCCAGCCATCTTCTGTTTATATCTCAATGGGTAAAATTATGTTATATGGTAAACTATAGCTGTAAAAGAGGTTGAAAACTGAATACTGACTTTCCCAGACTCTAGGGGAAGTAGGCAAATGCCAAGTCTCAGCCAGTCCTTTTATCATGATATGCCATTGATATTAGAAATTAAATGAACTATGTAAGTTCCTAGCCCAGTAATTCTCAAACTGTATTTCATATGAACATCTCTTGGGATGCTTGTTTAAAATGTAGATTCTTGGGGCCCATGAACAGAGGTTTTTCTTGGGTGGAGCCAAAGGATTTGCATTTTCAGAAAATGCCGGAGATCATTTTGATGCCTGTGTGGACCTTTTGAAAAATAACCATGTTGGCATTTTAGTTGGGATTTTTGATGTGGGGCAATGTTTCTCAATCCTGGCTGTATATCAAAATTGCCTGTGGAGGTTCTTAAAAATGCATATGCCCAGGCTTTCTCTGGGAGACTGATTTATTTGTGGAGGTGGACAGTGAGGGACAGAGCGAAGAGCAGGTATTTGAATTTTAACTTACTAGTAATACTGGTAATTCTGTTGCGCAGCCATGGTTAAAAACCATTAATCTAAGATTGTTTCTCAGAGTGCAGTCCCCAGACTAGCAGCATCACTGTCTCCTGGGAACTTTTTAGAAATGCAAATTATCAGGCCCCACCCAAGACTTGCTTAATTGGCAACTCAGGTAGGGCCCAACTGTCTGTTTCAACAAGCTCTTCAAGTGATTTTATTGCATACCAAAGTTTGAGGGCCTTAAAAGGCATTGCTGATTGTTTCTCAGCTTTGCCTAGACAAAATTAATTGACTGTTTTAAAAAAAAAAAAAAACACAAAACTTAATTGATGAAAGTATGTGTACTACTACATTGTAATGTAGTAATTTTGGAATTGGATTGAACGTTCACAAACAATCTAACACAGTAATTGTTGTGTACTGTAATTGACCTAATTATCCAAGACATTTGTTAGGTTACTATTTTTAAACAGCTCTTGATAATCAGCAGTTTTGTTTGGACACATTACTTTTTCCTAGCTTTTTAGGAGGAGTTAAGGAAATTGAAGATAGTTCTTATATTTATAAAATTTTTAAACTAGGGAAGAATGTAAGGTAAAAGTGCATGAACACAAAAGACAAATGTATAAACGTATTTTCTTTCAGAGTTAGCTATATTTCTGTGATTGGTGAATATATTATGGTGTAGGCAGCCTATCTAACATAAATTGGATTTACTTAGCTCATATGCCGAAGAGCAAAAGAGTACTTCATAGGATGTAAAATATGTCTTTCTTCAATTCAGTTTGCCTTCCCAACTGTAATTATTAATTGCTTCAACATGGTGTCTAGTATCTTCTCTCCATCTGTTTATAGGAAGCTGTAACTCTCCTACTATATTTTATTTCTCCTTACCCTTGGAAAAGTTAGTTTAGGTTCATTTGGGCTATCTTTTGCTTACTCTAGGTGATACAGTATATCTTCTCTAGTTTTGAGAAAATACGAAGTTAATTGGAACAAAGCTCTGGTTTGATTTTTAGGTACTTAAAAAACTTTTTAAGCCAGGCACAGGAACATGTGCCTATAGTCCTAGCTACTTGGGAGGCTGAGGCAGTAGAATCACTTGAGCCCAGGAATTCAAATCCAGCCTGGGCAACATAGTGAGACCCTGTCTTTAAGAACAAAAAAAGTTTAAAGCAGAACTTCTGAAAAAAATTGAATTGCAGTTGTGGTGTATAGAATCAGGCTTAACAAAGAGTTAAAATTACTAGACCCATTTGTAGTTTCATTAGCAATAACGCCAAATATAAAATGAAGTTCACAGAAACAAAAGTTGTCATTGAGGCAAGAGGCCTTTATGTCCAAGGCAAGAGTAGTTGAAGTGTGAGGATGTCCTTGTAAAATGTTGGCAAAAAAGACTTGACTGTTTCTCAGTCATAATTTACAGCCCCAAGAGACTTGAAGTTTATAGAGCTATGAAAACTCAAAATAATAAAAATGTTTGAACTGGGTTTTTTGGCAGCCCAGAGATACCTCTGTTATTGGAATTTTGCTTCCTGTGTTAATTTTACTGCTTAGACCTCATTGTTAAAGACAATTTCATAGCCCCACGCATTTTAACTTTTTGTCAGGTTTTAGTCTTCAGAAAGCCTTCTAAGTCCATCCTCCCTTTTTTCTCATGACTTCCTTTTTCTAACTCAATTCTTTTGTTAATTTTTCTAGTATTTCTTGAAAAAGCATTAGTGGCAGTGCTGGGTCACTTGTCATTTGTCATTTTCCTTAGCATTGGACAGTCTCCACTTGATTTTACACTCATTTACTTCCTTATTAAGCAACTAATAATAAGCCATCATGACTCTGTAAAAAAAAAGAACTTGGCGTTATTCAAATAGAGTGCTTTTATTCTTCAGGACTACTTTATACATTCATCTCATCTTCATTTAAGTTTCTCAGAACTTTAAGAGAACCTGTTATATTCAGAGAAGTCTCCCTCAGAAATACAGGAGACTTATAGCATGAGTGGTAAAATACATGTGGAAATTTATTGCCTAATAGGTATGTTTCTGTTGATAACTTTTGAAAACAAGCACATTTTTCTTTTGTTCTTTTGTTGATAAGGAAGCTACTAAAGATACTCCTTTTAAAAGTATTATTTCCCATCAGACAAATCAAATTACAAATATTTTAATTGTTGGAAGTTTAGGACACTATAGGAAACTTTAGTAACATTGACAGGCTATCACATGTATTTCTGAGTATTAGTCTCAAATTCGCTATGTACTTTTTCATGAAAAACTATGAATTAAGAGAGCAGCTGTGGCCCTTATTTGTTGCAGATCTTGATTTATTCTATTTTTTAAAAACATTCAGCAGATAACTTTATCAAAAGAAATGCTAATGATTTCTTTAGAATGTGAACCCATTTTAATCAGTACTGGCCTCTCTTTCTCACTTCGCTGATTGCTTGTATTTATGACCCTTAGATTGTAGGGAATGGAAGTGAACAGCAGCTGCAAAAAGAGCTAGCAGATGTGCTGATGGATCCTCCAATGGACGACCAGCCAGGGGACAAGGAGCTTGTGAAAAGGTCACAACTGGATGGTGAAGGAGATGGGCCACTTTCTAGTCAGCTCTCAGCTTCATCTACCATTAACCCTGTGCCATTAGTAGGGCTCCAAAAACCAGAGATGAGCCTGCCAGTGAAACCTGGACAAGGAGGTTAGGATTGCTGCATTGCTTGCGTAACTGAAGGTTATTGTTTTTAATATTTGAGTGTCCACCCTGTACCAGGTTTGATTCAGAGCAAACATAAACCATTATCTATATTCTTAAGAATCTCCAGATTCTAGCTCTAGGGGCATGTGAGAGGAGTAAATATATGTACCATTCTGATTTCCCTTTAAATGTGTTTCATTTCTACCAAAGAGAGCGAAACCATAGCTAAACGACACTGAGGGAAGTTTTTATTTTTCCCCAGAATGCTTAAGATTTTTCCAGGAAAGAAGGAATTTGGGTACAACATTGGAGAAATGGAGGGACAATTCTTGGTGAATAGATGTTTGCTCCAGGCCTGTAGAATTCTATGGAAGTAGTTGCCAAGGTGAAAAATGGAGGCTAGAACAAGGGACAGAAAGGCATAGCAGAAAGGGGGGAAAAGGACAATTTAAAGAGTCATTTGGGAAAGTGCCATGTTAATACTGTAAGTGCTGCTGGGAAAGGGAAAGCAAGGGTTTGAGAGATCATGGTAAAGTGGCTAAGACGATGAATGAGAGAAATAATTATAACACTGCAAATCAGAGATGGGATTTTTTAGGGTGGAAAAATACTAAATGTGTATTTTACCTAAATATAAATTATAAAGTCAAGACAAATTAGAAGAGGCAGAAAAGTAAATCAGATCTGAATCTGATTGGGATTGCCTCTTATAGCAATACAGGTTGAGTATCCCTTATCTGAAATGCTTGGGACCAAAAATGTTTCAGATTTCAGATTTTTTTTTGTTTTTGGAATATTTACATTACACTTACTGGTTGAGCATCCCAAATTCAGAAATTTGGAATCTGAAATGCTCTAGTAATCATTTCTTTTGAGCATCATGTGGGCACTCAAAAAGTTTTGGATTTTGGAGCATTTCATGTTTTAGATTCTTGAGTTTGAGATACCCAATTTGTACCTAAATCTTGATGTTTATGACAGAGTTCTATATGAGATCGCTGGTTTCATGGGCATTTCTTGTTGGATATGGCAGATTATATCATTATTACTTAACGTTAGAACCTAAATGTTACTTGCAGATTTTTACTTGCTATTCATATCAACAAAATATCAAGGTGAAGATAATCATTTCCTTCTTTCAGATTCTGAAGTGTCAAGTCCTTTCACACCAGTAGCAGACGAGGACAGCGTAGTTTTCAGTAAACTAACTTATTTAGGCTGTGCCTCAGTAAATGCTCCCCGGAGTGAAGTGGAAGCCTTAAGGATGATGTCCATCTTAAGAAGCCAGTGTCAGATTTCACTAGATGTAACCCTCTCAGTGCCGAATGTATCCGAAGGAATCGTGAGGTGAGACCAGCTTCTTGAAATATTTTTTAAAATTCCATTAGATCTCCAACCTTTTGTTTTAGAAGGAAGTAGTAGTGAATCAAATACGTAGTTATTTTATTCATGTTTAATTTATCTGGCACTCATGTCTTCCAAGGATTGTGACCTTTATGAAAAATGGTCACTCATTTGTAAGTTTTTTATGCGCTCCACACTCTAATCATGGGTAGCACATTAGAAATTTAAATGTTTTGAAAATAAATGAAATATATTGACCTGAGAGTCTTCCTAACAAATTAATTTATATTTTCCATGTTCCCTCAATGAAAATACTGGCTGGACATATAGTTCAAAATGGCATGTCATGTTGATTTTGTAAATTACAAAAATTTATTGGTAAATATTATGCCAGTACAGTCCCTTAATTTTTTTTTTTTTTTTTTTTTTTTTTTTGAGACAGAGTCTCACTCTGTTGCCCAGGCTAGAGTGCCGTGACGTCAGCCTAGCTCACAGCAGCCTCAAACTCCTGGGCTCAAGCAATCCTTCTGCCTTAGCCTCCCGAGTAGCTGGGACTACAGGCATGTGCCACCATGCCCAGCTAATTTTTTCTATGTATTTTTAGTTGTCCAATTAATTTCTTTCTATTTTTTTTAGTAGAGACGGGGTCTCGCTCTTGCTCAGGCTGGTTTCGAACTCCTGAGCTCAAACAATCCGCCCACCTCGGCCTCCCAGAGAGCTAGGATTACAGGCGTGAGCCACCGTGCCCGGCCTAGTCCCTTAATTTTTAAGATGAGAAAACTGAGGCAAAGAGTAGCCTCTAGAAATGGCTATTGTTTATACTAAATAGAACAAATAACACCAATTATAGGTAGCCAATCAGATGTCTGTATCAACCAGCTAATGCAGAATTGCTAAATAATCTGTCGAATGCAGCTAAAATAAAATAACTTTTTTCCCTATTACTAAAAATACACACTTATTTCAAAAAAATCGAAACACAAATAAAAATTTTTTTTTTTAAATCTCCTTAATTCTACAGGTCTTTTAATACAGTTTACATCTTGGCTTATTAAGATCCTCTTTGTGTATTTGTATGTATATATGTCCATTTGTGTTGTGTACCGACATGTATGTGTATGCGTATATAATTATGCAACTCTTAGAATCGACATTTTTAAACAGCAATGGAATTCTATTATACAGACCATCTTGTAATATACTTTCTTCACTTAGTTTTATTTTGTAAACCTTTCCATATCAAATATAATTAAAAATTTTAATTTATGATGGCATGTGAATGGGTTATAGATAAATAACCCATCTCTTATTTTAAGGTTTTTTTCTTTTAATAATAAAAGCACTAATAATAATAGCTAATACTAATTATTACATATGTGTCTTTAAGCTCAATCTTTGTAGTCTAGTTTTTATTTCCTTAGGATAAATTCCTAGAAGTAGACTTACTGGGTCAAAGGTTGGCCCATTTTTATTGTTTCTGATACCTTGTTAAGTAGCCATCTGGAAATATTGGTCCATTTTACACTTATATTCACAGTATATAGAGTATCTGTTTCTCAGTACCCTCAGAAGCTGTTTGGACTTTTATGGTAATCGAGTAGTAATGGTGGGTAATTGTAAGTTAAATAGTTAATCTGCATATGTGATTTTTCTCTTAGAGTATTTAAAGAACTGTTTCACAAAGACTCAAATTTATTAATGGAAAACTTTTAATAAAATTAGTTTAGCTCATATTCCTATATATTTCTTACTGAATACTTATTCCACCAACCGAAGTTACTTTGTTCTAATATATTTTAATTCTATAAAAGAAGTAAGAAAACTAGTCTGTCTTGCTGCATATTTTCAGAGTTTTTATGAAAGTGCTTTCGAACCTGAGTTAGATCTCCTTCCTAGGTATTTTCAATATGAGCAGGGCCCTCTAGGCTTTCCCCATCAATGGCTTTGTCAATGTAGTGTTGAAATTGCATAGTTTCTTTTTAGGCCTTTATAGGTGTGTCTTTTGTGCCCTGAGCAGAGTCTACAGTGTTGTAGATGTGACATAAATGTTTGTTAAATGAGTAGATTTTGAAATGAATTATATCTCTTTAATTTTTATTGAATGGCATCCTTTTGATTTTATTCATGGTCCTTTTTTTTTTTGAGAGGTTAGCATTTTGTATAATCTCTCTTCCCATATTTGCCATGAATCAAAAAATACATGTTTCACTCTGAGAAGGAGCATCAGTTTTTTGTTTTTATTTTTTTTAAAAAGCAGATTAGGTCATTCTCTTAGGAGATAATCAGAAGCATAGCTTTAATGATCTATTTTGGTGGTCTAATTTACCCATAAATCTTTATTTAGTTACAGGCTATGTAAGAAATATGCTTATTGATATTGTTCATACCTTTCTGCTTACCTCCCCAAAACATGAGACTATGTAGTTTTCGGTACCATGGAATTATGTCATGAATAACTTCTGGAATCCACATATGACTCATTTATTAAAATTTAAAATTATGATTAGCATACCACATACAGCCTGTATGATCATCTTGGTAGAAAGATGAGTCTTGAATCCTAATATGAATATAGTGCAAAGTGTTCAAAATTCCTCTAATCTCTTTATATCCTGTTTTTTCTGGACAGACTCTTAGATCCTCAGACAAACACTGAAATAGCAAACTACCCTATCTACAAAATTCTCTTCTGTGTCAGAGGGCATGATGGAACTCCTGAAAGCGACTGTTTTGCTTTCACTGAAAGTCATTACAATGCAGAGCTCTTCAGAATACATGTCTTCCGGTGTGAAATACAAGAAGCTGTAAGTCTTCAAGAGAAAACTATCTACAAATGAAACTTCACCAGTGCCCTCACTATGTTGAAATGATTAGAGTATTTATTGTGGTCACTCATAAGCCAGATGAAATTCTCTGCTAATGCTTTGGTGATTCCAACCTGATGGGCTAAAATGTATTAGGTTATTAAATATGAAATGTCCAATTTTGAATCAAAGTTTAGTTTATTATATCTAAAACAAGAAGTAGTACAATTAAAGTATGTGCCTAAACTATCGACACAATTTTGCCATCTTAATGATAATTTGCTTATGCCAGCAGCAAAAAAGCCTGGAGAATGAGTGGTGATGAAGTCATGAAAGGCATTTTCCCCAGCTTGTTGAGAATTGAGTATTTTTCCTTGCAAGAACTGGTCTAAAGCCTGGAAGAAACAGTAGTCAGTTGGTACAAGGTCTGGTGAATATAGTGGAGAACAAGAGTCTACAAGAGGTCCAGCTTCTGTAGTTTGAGCAGGATTGTTTTTTTGCAACATATGGTCTTGCAAGAGGATTGGCCTGTCTCTATTGACCAGTCTCAGCTGTTGCTTCTTAAGCATCCTCATCATTTTGTCCAACTGGTTGCAGTAGATATGTGCTGTAATAGATTGACCAGATTTCATGAAGCTATAATGGATAGTACCAGCACTGGACCACCAAACAGACACCAGTAGCTTTTTTTGATGAATATTCAATTTCGACTGTGTTTAAGCACTTCATCTTTATCCAGCCATTATGCCGAATGCTGGTGATTGTCAGAAATAATCCATTTTTCATCACATGTAACAATACGGTATAGATGGTTCGCCTTTATGTAGTGACAGCAAAGAAAGGCAAGCTTCGAGATGATTTCTCTTCTGTTGCTTGTTTAATTCATGCAGTACCCATGTATCCAGCTACTTACCTTGCCAATTTGTTTCAAATGGTCCAATATTGTTGGAATAGTAATGTCAGACCTTGCTGCTAATTCACATGTGGGTTGAGATGGATTCACTTCCACTACAGCTTTTAGGTCATCATTATCCACCTTGGTCTCAGGTCACCCATGTGGCTCATTTTCCAGGTTAAAATCACCAGAATGGAAATTCTCAAACCATTGACATACATGCGTTCATTAGCCACATCCTTCCCAAACACTTCGTGATATTTCAAGCTGGCCATTAGTTCCACTACAGAATTCATATTCAAAAATAACACGAATTTTTGACTTATCCATGGTTTCACAAAAATTGTGCTAAAAAAAAATTGAAAGATAATTACAAGCCAAAACGTGCATTTGAAAGAATGAGGATCTACCTTCATAATTAAAAAAAAAAAACCAAAAAGTGTCAAAGTGAAATGTCAGCGATATCAACTGTCAAACTTAGTAATTAAGGAAATCGGACATTCCATACTTAATAGCATAATAAATAAAACTAAAAGTTTGATTTAGCAGCAATAACAAAGTTCTGATTAGAGTGTCAGAGAAGAATAGCTGGCTACTTTATTGGATTTGATAGGCATCCACATTCTAACGGTGACACATTTGCAAACTATTCTTTTAGAGCAAAGTTGTTAGGACTGTTTTTATTATAAACAGTATGTTCAGATAGTTTCTAAGAGTTTAGGAAATGATTTCTCATTTGGATTTCTAGTGTTTACAACCATTTCTTTTTAAAACCCCTTTTCTGGCCATTTTTAGTGTTGCTTGCTTTATAGGCCTAACAAATTAGATGATGTTACCAAAAGAAATAAATGGGGGAAAGATGATTATTCTCCCCCAAAGTATGTAACCTTCCAGCCTTAATAAAGTATTTTTTATCTTATAACAGCCCATTTCCTAACATGTCTGGTTGTAGGTAAGCCGGATACTTTACAGTTTTGCCACTGCCTTCCGCCGTTCTGCAAAGCAGACCCCACTGTCAGCCACTGCTGCACCCCAGACTCCTGACAGTGACATCTTTACCTTCTCTGTGTCTTTAGAAATAAAAGAAGATGATGGTAAAGGTTATTTTAGGTAGGGCATCTCATTTTATTCATTTTTTTTTTGAGTTTGTATTAACATGCTACATTATCTGTGGTTCAAGGGAAACTCCAGGTCAGATTGTATAATTTTCATATCATAAAATGATTGTTTTTATAGGGAGGCCTTTTAAAATTTAATATGAGTGATAAAGGAAAAGAAGTAAGTAAATTTACAGGGGCAGGGTTTGAGGACTTTTAAGGCAATAAAAAAATCTTCACGTGGGAAACATGTTACTACCTTCTTTTAGTCAAACTCAAAGTAGCTGGCTGACTGCTCATAAGAAATACGGCCAAAGCTAAGTTAGCTGAATTTGTTGCTTTATTTTCTGATTTGTTTGTTTTTGTTGTTTTAATAATCTATATATCTGAAGGCTTTTGAAATCAAGTTTTAACAATAAAGTTTATCTGAACACACCGCAAGGGGAGAAATGAGGTCTGTTCTGAAGTCTAACCTTCTATATAGGGTTAGAAATAACTGATTTTGGTTTTTTAGTAAAATGATAATTCTTTGAATGGTGGAAAGAACCCTAGTATAGAAATCAAAACTTAGTCAATATTTTAATTATTGCTATATTTAACAATGTGAACTTTTCCAGGTTTCTTTATGTCCGACAGTAGTTTCCTTATCTATTAAATGAGGTGGCTAGACTCTCAAATCCTTTATAACTTTAAAATTATGGTTGCAAAATGACTGGGTTTTTTTTCTTTATATAAGCCATATTACAAAGTGGTTGCATCTTGGGATTATAATCAATAGTTGCATGTAGAAGTCTGTTTCCTCCCTAACTGCCTCATAAAATGGGTAAAGTGAAATCGAGTAAAAATATGAGTGATTTCTAAAATTTTGCTTTTAAATTTTTAAAAAAAAAGCATAAGGACTCATTCATTTGTTAGGAAAACTGATAACTCTTGGTCTCCCTTTAGACTTTGGAATTGTCATGCCATCTGGTGGCCAATTTAGCGTGCAGTACAGCTTCAAGTTTGATTTGAGGCGTAAAATATGAGTCATTGTGCTCTGCTTTCTCATTAGATATATTTCTGTTCTCAAAGCAACACTGTGAGCTAGTTCTTCCTACAGTGTGCATTCCTGCCCTGGAAAGCGGGAATTATAATCTATGTACTTTTAAACAATTATTTTCTTTTTTAAAAAACAAAAATTTCTTTAAACTTTTTTTCCTTTATTGAACATATTTATGTAGGTCTTGTCTGTAAGCTCTGATTGTGAATAGGAAAATTTAAGATCTCTCCAAAGAGAAGTGCTAGGATAACTTTTCTTCTTTCTTAGATCAGGCATATTCAATGTGAAATGATCATAAACATCGCTGCTATTTACCCTCATAACAAGGTGATGCTATTACAGAAAATCCTTGGATGTTCACATTTGCATTTCACATTTGTTAAGGCTTTGCTCTTTTTTTGCTACATGGTTTTACTGAATTTGTAATTTATAATAAATACTGTTGTGTCAATCTAATATAGTGATGAAATTATTGAAAAATATTCCTTTGTCAGATTTGAACTTGTCAAATGCAGTTCCTTTTATGCAGTAATTCTATAATATGTATGGGAATTTATCTGCAGAAATAATCATTGAGATGTTCAAAGAATTACCAACATGAATGTTCTCCTTCATACTATATAAAATAGTGAAATTAAAAAGTAGAAATTAAATGTTAGGGCAGTTGAAATATGGTATACCCATACAACTTATCACCAACCAAGAGATATTTGTATATGTAATTAACTATAGCACCACATTGATTGTGGTTTTAGCATAACACAAATATAGACAAAGTGTAGTGAGAAGAATTAATGTTCTCATTCCTGAAAAAGTATAATTCTTACATATTATAATTTGAAACCTACTTCTCAGGTTAGCCCTTAGCAAGATAGAGCATTTTTATTTATACCATTCAAAACACTTCTTTTTTGTTTTATTTAATCTGCCATGCAACTCCATGAGATGAATTAGGTAGTTGATGTGCTTATTTTATAGATAAACACAGGGAAATTAAGCTTGGACCTCAATTTCTAAATTTATATAGTAGGAATTAAATATTAAATTCCCCCACACAGGTCCATTCAGTGACATAGTTACAGGGCCAGAAATATAATCTAGGCCCCTGACATTCAGTGAGATGAACACCCACTCATTACACTCTGCTCCCTGTTAATAGAGCTCTATAAGTTCAAGATAACTTTATATCTGTTGTTATTTTAAATTGCTAGGTGATGAGATTGTCTTTATTTATACTTCAGCATCCACAGAGCATAGAGACCAGTGTATCTCTTAGCAGTTGAAAATTCAGACTCATCCATCTCCTTATAGGTGAAAATTCTGTAAGCCACAAATATTTAAAAGTTTGGTGTGCAAGTTTTCTTTGAACATGTTTGTCATTTCGAGACTCCTTTGCTAAGATTCTTTGATTTTCTAATCTAAGTGTTATAAAATGTTCTTCAATTGGTTATAAGTGCAGAAAGGATTCAAACTCATATTTCTTCAGAGCTACTTTTTAGTTTGAGTAGGTACTCAGAGCTTTCATCTAGCCATTTATAGTATCTGCTAATGGTTCTATGGCCATTATCTTAAAGTTGTATAGAAATAAGATATGATTTAGATTTATGGCTGACTGGCTGATTGCCATAGGCAGATGTTTTTACCTTTGAGAACAAAGGAGCTAGAGAAAATGGTGTGTGGGAAACTAGAGGATTATTTTGGTAAACTGGCGTTTTAGGAATATTTTCTTTCAAGTTTTTTATTAAAGATATTCGTTAACTGAATCATTAGTATTTTATAATTATTACACAGGTTTGTAGTAAAATTATCACTGCTTAAGGGAAATGATATGGCTTATTGTTGGCCATATCTTCCTTATTTCTATTATTTTTTAAAGGCATCTTGTTTTGAAACTCCAAGGGTCTGTGATTAAATATCTTTTTCTTCATTATTTATTTAAACGAGTATGGTAATAATTTATTTGTGTAAACCAGTTACCAAATATAAAGGAAAAAAAAATAAACATTTTTTTGAGTTCTGTATGCCAGATGCCATGCTAGATACTTTAAAAATATCTAGTGTAGGCCGGGCGTGGTGGCTTATGCCTGTAATCCTAGCACTCTGGGAGGCCGAGGCGGGTGGATCCCTCAAGGTCAGGAGTTCGAGACCAGCCTGAGCAAGAGTGAGACCCCGTCTCTGCTAAAAAATAGAAAGAAATGATCTGGACAACTAAAAGTACATAGAAAAAAAAATTAGCCAGGCATGGTGGTGCATGGCTGTAGTCCCGGCTGCTCGGGAGGCTGAGGCAGAAGGATCGCTTGAGCCCAGGAGTTTGAGGTTGCTGTCAGCTAGGCTGACGCCACGGCACTCTAGCCTGGGCAACAGAGTGAGACTCTGTCTCAAAAAAAAAAAAAAAAAAAAAATATCTAGTGTAATTTTGACAGCAACAAAAGGGAGAAAACCAAAGCCACATTTTGGGCACATAGGAGTGGTTTTGTTAGCTTTTATAAATGCTTTAACAGTTTACCTGCAAATATCTGCTGATATTTTCACGTTAGGAAGCACATTATGATTTTTTTCTTTTTTGTTATTATTTGAAAACCAGGCACAGAAAAGAATCAGAGATTTGAGGTCTTTGTTTAAAAAAATTGTTCTAGTATGTGACAAGACAATACTTTGCAAAATTAATGAAACATGTTGATCTACAGTGCAGTTCCCAAAGATAAGGACAGACAATGCTTTAAACTACGCCAAGGAATTGATAAGAAGATTGTCATCTATGTGCAACAAACAACTAATAAAGAACTTGCCATTGAAAGGTAAGCATGTTTAGTAAGTTTAGCTTAAATATAAATTTTGGTTTTTATCAATCTAAGGGAGTAGTCATACAGTATTCAAAAATGTATTTGCGATGTATTTTGTTCCCTAAGAAATTCTTTTGTTTATTGAGGTCAGTGCTTTACTTTGACATAGGTCCTGTAAGTCTTCAGTTAGTATGCTAATTTCATCTATGTGGTAATAAAAGGCAAACAGAATTAGCTTATCTCAAATAAGGATGATTATTTTGGCAACACTAATTTATTGATAATTCTAGTAAGTGACCTTTTTTACTATTAGTAAGAATTTTTTTTAAAAGTGGCCTATTTTAAACTTTTCTTGTGTTATCTTTTTTTCCAAATTTATGTCAGTTCTTTTTTTGCAGGTGTTTTGGTCTTCTCCTTAGTCCTGGAAAAGATGTACGAAATAGTGACATGCACTTGTTAGATTTGGTAAGGATTTCTTTTTGCTGGAAAGTTATATACTGTTTCCTCAATAAACGTTGTTTCACTTTGTTGCATCTGAATCTAATGTTAAAACATGTTTATGAAGGTGTTCTTGTATAAAACAATATACAAAGATAAGAGAATTTCCTTATTCCTGACTTAACTATTTACAAGTCTGACCTTGGATAAGCCTTGGTTTCTTAACTGTGCAGTGGTGATAATCTTCTTTATACTATTGAATAAGGTTAATGTGAGAATCAAAGAGAAAATTTATCAAAGAATTCTTGACAAATATCAAGTGCTTTACCAGCAGTAGACTGTATTAGTATTATTGCTCCTATATGAAATTCTATTTTCCAAACTAAATATGTGGTGATTATTCACTTGACAGAAGAATTCAGCAGAGGATTTAGGTAGTGAATTCCCCTAATGTTTATTCAATTTGATATGATTTATAAGCACTTACATATTACTTCAGGAACAATTGCATATATAATTGACACATATTTTGTTTTTGTTTTTTGGGGGGGTTTTTTCATTTGTTTTTTGAGACAGAGCAAGACTCTTGCCCAGGAAGGTAGTGGCACAATCATAGCTCACTGCAGCCTCAAACTCCTGGCCTCAAGTGATTCTCCCACCTCAACCTCCCTAGTAGCAAGGACTACAGGCACCACAATGCCCAGCTAATTTTTTTTTTTTTTTTAATTTTTTGTAGAGACAAGGTCTTGCCATGTTGCCCAGGCTGGGCTCAAACTTCTGGCCTCAAGTGATCCTTCCACCTAGGCCTCCTAAATTGTTGGGATTACAGGCATGAGCCACCATACCAGTCATGATCCACTGTGCCCAGCCCACATCTTTAGTCATAACTATGGTCATTCACATACTCCTACCTTTTTTTAAAAAAAAATCTGATCCTCTTTCATATTATTATGTTTTTGCAACTCCTGTTTTTTAAAGGCAACAAGCAAGGTTATTGTTAGCTGTTGTTCACTCACTTTGGCATTAAGGTTTATTTTTACTCTTTTCTTTAGGAATCTATGGGCAAAAGTTCAGATGGGAAGTCCTATGTTATTACTGGGAGCTGGAATCCAAAATCCCCACATTTTCAAGTCGTAAATGAAGAAACTCCTAAAGGTGATTCATATTGCAGACATCATTAACAGAGACATTAGTCTTAAGAAGATACCCAAACCTTAGGACAACTTGCTTGAACAATATCCAGTGTTTACCTAGTTCTGGTGAAACCAAAGAATTTGAATAGTTCTTAAGTTGATTATTAAATTGATCTATAAACAAAGTATAATTTTTGCCCACTATTTTCCCCTCTTCATTTTTCCCTTGGCTTTTCCTTTTCTTCCTATTTATATACTTATTTATTTACACACTCCGAAGTTTTAATTTTTATAAAGAGATAATCCATGTACACAAATGGTTAAAAATCTAAAGGATATGTAGGGAAAAGTGAGTCTACTGCAGTCCCCAGGTTCCCTCCCAAAGGGTATCACTGTTAGTAGTTTCTTGTGTAGCTTTTCAGATATTCTGTGCATAAACAAGTTTTTAAAAGATATTTCATATGACATTTAATGGCTGTATAATATTTCATCCTGAAAATGTAATGTTTGTTTGCTTAATGAGTGCCTCTTATTGAGCATTTTTCCCCTTCATTTTTTTTGTTATTAATAGCACTATAGATAAATGGATAAAGGTTTTAAATGATTCAAAAGTATAAGATACCATTGTTAACGAAGTTTAACCAAGTTTAAAAGGTGAGAATTCTTGTTGGCGAGAGTGGCATAAATAAGCCATATGCCACTTTGGCAAAAAATCTGTGACAATATGTTTTTTAAGCTTGGAAGTGTATACTGCTATCACTTACTAATTCCACTTCTAGGAGTCCACCTAAGAAAAGAATTTTCAATAGAGGAAAAAACAATGCTGAAAGTAGCAATTTATCTGATTATTTTAGATATTTATTGATTGTTTACCTTATCATATCTTGAAAGTTTGTAATAAAACTAATTACTTTTATATTAATAATATGAGCAAATATGTTTCTGTCTTGTTTATTTTTTTCTCCTCCCTCTCTCTCTTTCTAGATAAAGTGCTGTTCATGACCACAGCTGTTGATTTGGTAATAACAGAAGTGCAGGAGCCTGTTCGATTTCTCCTAGAGACAAAAGTCCGTGTTTGCTCACCTAATGAAAGATTATTCTGGCCCTTCAGCAAACGTAGTACTACTGAAAATTTCTTTTTGAAACTAAAGCAGGTACCGTACTTTTCTATAAATACAGAAAGGGGAATAAGAGGACAAATCACTTCTGAGGCTGATTTATCATTGCTCTAAGCTGTCAGATCTTTTAAGCAGTCATGTGCTTTTTAAATACATTAAGAACTTCTTTTAGCATTTTTTTTTAATGCAGATCTGCTGAAGACATGTCTCTTAGACTTCTTTATCTGAAAATGTCTGTTTTTCACTTTCATTCCAATAAGATATTTTCACTGGATATAGAATTCTGGGTTGACTTTTTTTTCTTTGAGCACTTTAAAGATATCTTCAGACATTATTCTGGCTTCCATTGTTTTCGATGAGAAGTCAGCATTCATTTATACTGTTGTTCCTCTGTATGTAATGTGTCATTTTTCTCTGGCTGCTTTCAAAATTCTTTCTTTATTTTTGGTTTTCATACATTTAACTATGATATGACTAGGTGTCATTTTCTTTCTGTTTATCCTGCTTTGCAGGGCTTCCTGATTTGCAGGGCTTCTTGCAGGGCTTCCAGCCAAATTTGGGGAAAATCTGACCTATTGTATCTTCAGCTTTTTTTCTGCCCATCTCTCTTTTCTCTCCTGGGATTCCAATAACACATATTATAGATCTTTTAGTATTATCCCATAAATCTCTGAGGCTCTGTTTTTTTTTTTTTTTTCAATTTTTTTTCTGTGTTTTCTTTGGATGGGATATTTTTTATTAACATGTCTTCACATTCACTGACTTTTTTGTTATCTTTAATCTGCTATTATAGCCATTCACTGAATTTTTTTAGAAGTTTGGATTTTTTTGTGTGTTTGTTTCTAGAATGTCTGTTTGATTCTATTTTATAGTTTTCTTCTGAGATTTCCTATTTGTTCTTTCATTTCCAGCAGGTTTTCTTTTACATCCTTAAGCATAATTACGATGTAGCCACTTTAGAAATTCTTGACTGCTAATTCTTCTGTATAATGAATCACATTTTTCTGTGTCTTTATTTGCCTTGTAATTTTGGATTATGTGTTAAAACATTTTAAGTGATATATTGTAGAGACTCTGGGTTCTGTTATGTTCTTCTGAAGAGTACCAGTTTGTTTTCTCTTTACAGTTTATATCTGGCAATTAATTTGGTCAAAGTCAAACTTCATACTCTGTCTTCCGGTGACAGTCAGCACCTGAAATCTGTGTTCTATTCTGTTAGCTTTTTTTGGTTCCCTGTTGCTCCCATTTTTGCTTTCCTTTATAGCAGAAGTCCTTGGAAGAAGTCAAGGTCACCAGTGACATAAATTGCTAATCTCAATCCTCATCTTACTTGACCTGTCAGCAACATTTGATATAGGTGATTACTCCCTTTTCCTTAAGTACCTACCCCTCTTTCACTTCATTTTCAGGGCATTTCAAACTAAACATGTCCAAAAAGGTCTCATTATCTTATCCCATCCCAAAATGCTCTACGTACTAGCCTTTACTATCTCATTTTGTGGGCATCTTTTAACAGTTACTCGGGCCAGTAATTTTACTCTTTTATTTCTCACAGTCCATATCCAGTCTGTCAGGAAATCCTGTTTGCTTTCAAAAATGTATCTAAAATCTAATCATGTTTCACCACCTAGATTATGTTAATCCTCATCTGTATCATCATTTTTCACCTAGTTCATTGCAGTAGTCTCTTCACTCATCATGCTGTTTCTATCTTTGCCCTGTTATGATTTCTTCTCAGCATAGCAGCCTAAGGTCAAATCATATCATATTTCTGCTCAAAACCCTCTAACCCTACTTTACTCTGTAAAAGCCAAAGCTCTCATTGTGGCTTAACCAGATCCTACCTGATCTGCTGCCTATTATATCATAAACAAATTCCTTTCTTATTCTTTTTCTCTTAATTGTTCACTCTGCTCTAACCACACTCTTAGGGACTTTATTAACTGCTCCTTCTGCCTAGATACCCTTCCCCTGGACCCCATTTGCTAATACACGCCTCCTTTAGTTCCTTACTAACTTACAAGTCTTTGCTTAGGGCCAGGCATGGTGGCTCGTGCCTGTAATCCTAGCACTCTGGGAGCCCAAGGGAGGAGGATTGCTTGAGCTCAGGAGTTCGAGACCAGCCTGAGCAAGAGTGAGACCCCCATCTCTACTAAAAATAGAAAAAACTAGCCAGGCATGGTGACAAGTGCCTGTAGTCCCAGCTACTTGGGAGGCTGAGGCAGGAGGATTGCTTGAGCCCAGGAGTTTGAGGTTGCTGTGAGCTAGGTTGACACCAGGGCCCTCTAGCCCGGGCAGCCGAGCAAGACTCTTGTCTCAAAAAAAAAGTCTGGCCGGGCACGGTGGCTCACGCCTGTAATCCTGGCACTCTGGGAGGCCAAGACGGGTGGGTGGATCATTTGAGCTCAGGAGTTCGAGACCAACCTGAGCAAGGGCGAGACCCTGTCTCTACTAAAAAAATAGAAAGAAATTGGCTGGACAACTAAAAATATATAGAAAAAATTAGCCGGGCATAGTGGTGCATGCCTGTAGTCCCAGCTACTCGGGAGGCTGAGGCAGAAGGATTGGTTGAGCCCAGGAGTTTGAGGTTGCTGTGAGCTAGGCCATGGCACTCTAGCCTGGGCAAAAAAAAGAGTGAGACTCTGTCTCCAAAAAAAAAAAGTCTTTGCTTAGATTTACTTCTCAACAACTTACCCTGATTACCCCGTTGAATATTTCAACTTACCTGCTCTTTCTTGTATTGGTGCTGCCAATTCCCCTTACCCCTAAATGGTTATATTTTTTTATTTTTTTAATCTGGATTTTACCTTCCAATATATCATGTAATATACATATTTTTATATTGTTATCTGTTTTAGAGTCCTCTACTATGTAAGATTCTTAATTTATCTTGTTCATCAGTTTATTCCAAGTACCTAGAACATAGTACTTCTCAATGAATATTTGTTGAATTGATTTTATTTACATGCAACTTTGATTTTCCATTATATAAAATTAAAATGTTGTATGTGGAGTTACTTGAATATACTTTTTCATATTCCATATTTTTATTTACATAGCAATAAAAATTTTGATTCCAGCATATCCATGTTAGCCCTATTGGGTATATTTAGAAAAAAGGAACTAGCAAAGCAGTAATAGAGATTTCTTTCCATTGTTGTCTTAAGAGACAGAAAGAAAACCTGAGCCCCAGCACTGTTCTCCCAGCTCTTCAATGTGGCAGAGTCATCATCTAGAACTTGGATTTGGAATCAGAGTACTTGGATCTTATCACTAGCTTTATGACTTTGAGCAAGTTCATTTAACTCTCTGAGTCTCAGTTTACTCAGTTGTAAATTGGCAGCAATAATAGAATCTCCACGATAGTGTTATTGTGACATTAAATAAGAAACTATATAGCACGCTTGGAATAGTTCCCAGTACATAGTAAGTTATCCATTCATTTTTGCTATTATTATTGAGAGAGACTCTGGAACTCTGTGGGACACAGGAATAATAAAAATCACTAAATCGTGAAATCAGAACGGCGTTGATTATTTAGATGGAGGATTAGTCCCAGGGGAAGAATGCTTCAGAAATTAAACCAATTTGCAAACATCACTTTGAAAGTTTAGGGAGTGAGAAAAAATGATCCTTAAAAGTTTCCAAAGCACGAGATGGTAAATAGAAATTAATAGTATAGTATTTTACAGTAAAAATTTGTTTGTAAAAAAATTCTCTTTGAGTTCTGTCTCTTTAATGTTATTTTAGTGAACATAAATAAGATTCCCCTGATCTTGCATTTCCTTTGAGGTCTAATGTTATACAGCCTTGGATTCAAAGACTATGTGAGTTTACAAGAATATTGCTTTTATGATTAAGTCTAAAATAACATATCTTTTTATAGAGATTATTTAATTTTAATGCTATGTAACATTTTAATGTACTCAAATATAATGTGTTATTCTAGAAATTTTTACTTACTTTTTTAGTTAGACTAAAAATAGCTTGATAGGGTAAACTAGCCATAAACATAACTGAGACAGAGCCCAATATACTACTTTAGAGTCATCTGTTAAGGTTACAAACTAAACTTAAGCTGAATTCTCAATATTTTCTTTGCAAAAAGCAAAAGTGTATATGTGGAACCGGGGAGGAGGGCAGGAAATTCCTGATGATAGTTCTTTGTTTTTCTCCTTATTTGGATAAGTCTTTTTGTGTGTTTGAGTGTGGGTTAGGGAGAGGGAAAGGAGAGGTAGAGAGGAAATAATTTGAACATCTTTGTGCCATCTTAGAGCACTTAGAAACTGTTAATCTCATCCCTTGTTAACTTAATAAACTAGGTTTATTTATTTCCTCTTTTATATTTATGGCATTAAAAAGTAACAGCTACCACTACTTGAGGTCCTACCGTGACCATCACTCTGCTAACTACTTCACTTTTTTATCTTATGCAATTTTCACAGTGATCCAATGAGGATAAATAATATTTTCATTTTATAGATGAGGAAACTTAGATGTAAAGATGTTTAATAGATATTATGGGATGTTGTGTGAACAAGATACGTATCTAAACCTTCTAAAAGTCTCAGCCAGGGCTCTTTCTATAGAAACATGGTACTTTTGTCTTTTTTTTTTTTTTTTCTATAAGAATACTTTCAGGATTTACTGAAATTAAGCATGAGTCAAAATTTTTGCCCTTTTCAGTTCTCATTAGACTGAAAAGGAAACAATACTACAGAGCAGTCTTTAAAGTATACAACATAGAGCATTTCCATTTTTTGCTGCCAGTATGCAGAAACAATTATGTAAATGTTAAGATATGTGTTTAAAAATTGATTCTTCTTCTTTTCACTAAAATTATCTGGTGACTCAGTAACTCCTTTTTAGCCTGGAAGCCTTCCCATCTGTGGGATTGTTACATTAAGATGGCATCGTATTAAAGAAGCTTTTAAAATTAGTAGGGGAAGAAATAATGCTTTCTCGGATTTAAATATTCTTATGCTATTTACTGAAAGGAAAAGAAAATGGTCTGATGACTAGATTTTCCAATAGTG